CGAAAAATGGAGTGGTTGAAGATCGTGTGCCACTTGGGATATCCACGTTTTCTTTGGGGCATTTCGTGCGATTTTCCACCCATCCGGTCGCAGCGGATCAACATCGCAATCATCAACACCATCATCATCATCATAATCCATCATCATTGCTGTCATCATCATCATCATCTTTATCATCCTCATCATGAAGAGACTGTTATGGGATTCACCATATGAATCAATTCCTAGGTCAATCTGGAAAACGCTCAGACTTCCATCTAATCTTCATGGTGTGGGGAGAGGCAAGAAGATACCAGGAAGACCTAAAAGACACTCTGGGCAAATGAGTCTTTGCTTGAAAAAAGGGGGGAAATTGTTAGGCTGAGGAACTTTTGGAGATGAGTGGAGGGTAAGAGATAGGTACAAGGAGAGGCACCAAAGAGACTGGATGGGCAGGGAAGGTGGGCAGGGCTTGAGGGCTGCTATTGAGGCAGGGGCTTGGGGGCGGGGCTTGGAAAGATGGGCGGGCCAACACGTGGGAAGGAAAGGGCGGGGCCTGTCACGTGTAGGAGGGACCGAGGCTGCTTCGGTGGATGGTGGAGGTGTTGCCCAGGTGCTGGAGGGGGCGGGAGGGAGGGAGGGGGCGCGGGTGGCCCCTTGAGGGGGGCAGTTAGGGCACTTTCCCTGCGGCCGGAAGCGGAAGCCGCCTGGAATTTCCGGCGCTCCGCGGGCGGGCGGCCATGTTGCAGGGGTGGATCGGCGCAGCGGCTTTTGCTGGGTCCCGCGGTGGCCGGTAGGTTGCGGGCTTGGCGCCTGCCCGGGCGCGGCCAGTCCCCGAGGGGGGGCGCTGCAGCTGGGACTCGGCTCGAGGCGTGGCGGATCGGGGGAGGGGAGGGGGGGGCTCCTCGGCCTCGCCTTCTTCTCTCCCCCCTCCCCGCCACGGGATGCTCCTCCTTTGGCGCTCTCCTCCCCGCCCTCTCCCGGCCGGTCTGCGGATCTCTCCCCCCTCCCCCCCGGCCGCCGCTCCCGCGGGGGCCCCGCCGGACGACACACCCCTTTTCCCCAGCCCAAGCCGTCTTCCCCTCCGCCTGGCCCGGCCCCGCCCCTCTTTTCCCTTGGCATCATCGTCCCCTCGTCCTCCTCCTGCTCCTTCTCCTCCTCCTCCTCCTCCCGGCTTACTTTGGCTTTAGTTTTCGGGGGTTGGGGTGTGTTGGGGTGGAGGAAGCCCCCAGCCTGGCCTTTGCGAGGGGGTCAGCTGTCAGGAGGGAGCCTTTTTTTCCTCCCTTCACCCAGCTATCATCCTCAAGATCTGGATTCGATTTTGGGAGACCCATAAAAAGGCTTCTGCTGATTTTGCTTCTGCCTTTTTTGCCGGCACTCCAGGCAGCTTTCTCCAAAAAGAGAGGGCGAAAAAGTGGGTGGTCTTTGGGTTTTTCCAGAAGGGTTTGGCCATTGTTTTTGCACCACCTTGGGTGCACTTATGGGATTGAATTGATAGGGAGTCCTTCCTCTTCTTGCTTCCACTCAAGTTTCACGGCCACAAAGAATACACGTGAATAATAACATCTCACAGGTGATACAACTATATATATATATATATATATATATTTGGGGATATACACATGATTAGAGCAGAAATGTTTGCCATTCTTAGGATTTTCGCTGCTTTGAATGACCAGTGATCGGATGCAATTTTGAAGGCCCAGACAGAAAAGGGTGCTGTTATAATAATACATTCAGGAACCGTATAATATTGTTATCACAACAGAAATCCACTCTTGCAAAACTCTAGGAATGAATTAAAAGAAATTAAAGAATTCTATTCTATTCTAAAAGAAAATGGATCTTTGCTTGGAAATATTTTATTTTTCGTTCAACGTCTATGAAGTTAATTTGTGGTGTACGTCTTTGAGAAAATATCCGAAGTAACTCTTAAATTTATTTTATCGAGCAAGCTTTCGTCAAAAGACAGATTATCCTCTAGTTACTGTGGTATAAGTCTTAATTCATTTTGGTTAATATATCATCCACTCTTTCAAAACCAACTGACATCTTTCACTGATTAATGTGAAGATCCAAAACCATTTTTTACATTAAAAATTGGATAGCTTTAATTTCTCTTTGGGGTTGTGACTATTGGCCACTATTTTTTTTAAATAAAGATCATTTACATCACATATTCACTATGGTTAATAATTTGTCTTGATTTGTAGAGTCTCTCTAAGCTCCCCAGTTGAAATCTTTGTAAAAACCCATCACTAAAAGAGGTGAAGCTGAAACAATATAAGCTGTGAGTTCTTTTAGGTTGTTTTTTCTTGTTACCCAAGTTCTGGCACAACAACTACTCAAAGCCTAAAATAAACTAATGTGAGCCATTTTGGTTGTAAGGAGGAGCTGGCTAGAACTGAAGACATATACACAAACAGGTTATAAACTATAACAAATGTGTTGTGTGAAACACTTTAAAGTTATCTTGCATTGCAGCTTTATGCATAGTTATTTGAAAGTGCATATGTAAAGAAAAGCTTATTCCCTGATAACGGTTCACAATTGTGGTAACTGGGTTCCTTGCTGTTGATTAACAGTTATTTCCAGCAGGCCTTTTGAATTGCACCACAATATAGAGTTTGAATTTGATCCTAAATGCATGATGTTGAGAAGTCATTTAGTTTATGATAGAGATAATTATTTGAAGGATGAGAGTTTCAAAAACCTTTTTAAATAATCTGCTTTGTGCATCTTGAAATAGTTATTTGAAAGATTTTCTGTTGTATGATTGTGTCCTGAGCTTGCGAGAGACTTGCTTAATTCATCTTTTCATTTCATAGAAAAATTACGATGTGATGTGCAAAAATCAAATGCCTATTAATGGACCAGCTGCCTTTGATATAGAGCAGTGGTTCTCAACCTCCCCAATGCCGTGACCTTTTAACACAGTTCCTCAGGTTGTGGTGACCCCCAACTATAAAATTGGTGTCTCCTAAGACCATCGAAAAGGGGTCCCGACCCACAGGTTGAGAACCACTGATATAGAGTGACTAATTCTGTATTTGGAAGAGGCACTTTTAGCTTTGAGTGTGCAACAGTGTTATGTCATTATTTTTCTCAGTGATTGATCATCCTAATTACATGACAGGATTGTGTCATGCTGCAATGCTGTCACTCTGATATGTTTTCTGTGTTCATAGCATGATATTACATGAGGAATGGAGAAAATGAACTGGGCTGGGTTACTGTTAAACCCAAATCGGATCTCAATTGCCATGAGGTTGAGTAAAAAGTAGAGCAGGTGGGAATGGAACCTTGTTGAATATTTAATCATTGCACTCAATCATGTTTTGGCTAATCTCATTTTAGCTGGATATTATATTTTACTAGGTTTGCACAACATGGTGTGCTCAAATTAAACAAATATCTAATAGTTTAATAAATGAACCAGTTACCTATTTTGATTGTTATTCATGAACTCCTAGGCTTTTAACATAATAGACTATTTTATATTACTTTTTTAAACATGGTATGTTTTAATGTTTTTTTTTTAAACATAGGCTGGTGGCAAATTAAATTGAGTTGCTGGACCAACATATATTCACTTGTTTTGTGTCCTAGTGTTTCAGTTTTAAAATAAAAAAAAAACAAATCTATCTAGCATTCCTCCCTATCTGTGCTGAATTGTTCACTGGAATAATTATTTGTTTGTTAAATGTTTTATGACACAATATAAATTGTCATAAAACATTTCCTGTGGTCAACTGTTGATGTTGATCAACTGTTGATGTTCAGCATGCGTGACTATTGTAAGTTGCATAGTTTTCGGAAGGTGAAAATGTGCATTTATTTAATGCAGCATCAACATCATTATAGTGATTGTTTCATCCACTATAACTGAGGCCTGGCACTAAAACCTAATTCTAAATCAGAGGGGGAGGGGTTGTTTATTTTTAAATTAGTTTCAATTCAGCATTTCTTGAGTTTCAGAATAACTTAACTACGAAGTATGAAAATAGTTAACCGTGAAAGGGTGTGATATTTCATAAGCTTCCGATTTCTAAAAAAAACCTGGAATAATGATCAAAAAACTGATCCAAATAAAGAAGTGTAATTTCACTTCTGCATTTAATATAATCATATATTTGTTGGGCAGAAATTGCTGTATCTGAGTTAGTTTAAATATATACTTGTTGAATCATTTTGAAAGCACTTTTACTCCCTGTTAAATTTAATATTCTAACTAGCTATTGGGCTCATATAGCCAAAAAGAAAATAGTTTCAAACCACTCTTAATTTGAGCGAGGTTCTTCATTGTGAAGACCTAAGGCACAGATTTATCTGGAAAAGCTAAGACCAGCTTTGACCTCTAAAATGGCAGTGATGGAGTAGTACTGGATGTGTTATATTTTGAGTTTTCATAGATCAGTATCAAGGTTTAAGAGGTCTAACAAAGAGAAGAGAAATTGTGTTCCCTAAAGCTGAATACTTTCTAAAATCCTCTGATACACATAAAGACATTATTTTTGGAGCCAGGTTTCTATAGTAAAGTTTCCCAGAAGTCATTCTTACTATTGTTTGGAACTGTTGGAAGAAAAGTCTATTTGGGTTCAGTTCCAAGTGGGGAAAAGAACAGTGGAAACATGGAGGCTGCTTGGAAAGATGGTTTTTAATGGTGGACAGGACCACATGATTTGAGGTCCTGGAGGAAAGAGATGCTGAGAGTGCCCTGGTTTTATGCCCTCTCTGGGCTTTTGAATTTGAGTTTGTATTCTGATTGGTTGTCTGACTCCCATGGGGCCATGCAAGGGCAACTCTGTAGACTGTCCTGAGTCCTAGGCTTAGTTGAGCCTTGCTGGGTGATGATGTAATGAAAGGGCTTTGGGATTCCTATTATGACAAGAGCTGACTGTGGCTCAGATGATGAGTGGCTCATTGAAAAGATTTGGCTTAAATTGAAGAAAGTAGGAAAAAGCACTAGACCACTCAGGTATGAACTAAAATATCCCTGATGAATTCGCAGTAGAGGTGATAAATAGATTTAAGGAATTAGATCTGATAGACAGGTACCTGGAGAACTGTGGATGGAAGTTCGCAACATTGTACAAGAGGTAGCAACTAAAAACACCCCAAAGAAAAAGAAATGCAAGAAAGCAAAATGGCTGTCTGAGGAAGCTTTGCAAACAGCTGAGGAAAGAAGGGAAGCGAAAGGCAAGGGAGAAAGAGAAAGATGCACCCAAATGAATGCAGAATTCCAGAGAATAACTAGAAGAGATAAGAATGCCTTCTTAAACAAACAGTGCAAAGAAATAGAAGAAAACAATAGAATAGGGAGGACCAGAGATCTCTTCAAGAAAATTGGAGATATGAAGGGAACATTTCATGCAAAGATGGGCAAGATAAAGAACCAAAATGGCAGGGATCTAACAAAGGCAGAAGAGGTAGCAAAATTTACACAGAAGAACTATACAAGAACAAGCTTAGCATCCCTGATAACCACGACAGGGTAGTCACTGACCTAGAGCCAGACATCCTAGAATGTGAAGTCAAATAGGCCTTAGGAAATCTGAGCAACAACAAAGCTAGTGGAGGTGACAGAATTCCAGCCGAGCTATTCAAAATCTTAAAAGACGATGCAATAAAAGGGCTACACCCAATTTGCCAGCAAATTTGAAAAAACTCAACAGTGGCCACAGGATTGGAAAAGGTCAGTTTACATTCCAATTCCAAAGAAGGGCGATGGCAAAGAATGTTCAAACCATCGCATCTTTGCACTCATTTCACATGCTAGTAAAGCTAGGTTCAAAGTCCTACAAGCTAGGCTCCAGCAGTATGTGGATCAAGAAGTACCAGAAGTCCAGGCAGGATTTTGAAGAGGCAGAGGAGCTAGAGATCAAATTGCAACATACGATGGATCATGGAGAAAAGTAGGGAGTTCCCCCCCAAAAAAATCTGCTTCATTGACTATGCTAAAGCTTTTGATTATGTGGATCACAACAAATTGTGGCAAGTTCTTAAAGAGATGGGAGTACCAGACCATCTTACTTGTCTCTTGAGAAACCTATATGCGGGTCAAGAAGCAACAGGGACATGGAACCACTGATTGGTCCAAAATTGGGAAAAGAGTCCAGCAAGGCTGTATACTGTCACCCTGCCTCTTTAACTTATATGCAGAGCACATCATGAGAAATGGGCTAGATGGATCAAATGTTGGAATTAAGATTGTTGGGAGAAATATCAACAACCTCAGATATGCAGATGCTACCACTCTAATGTCAGAAAGCGAAGAGGAACTAAAGAGCCTCTTGAGGCGGGTGAAGAAGGAGAGTGCAAAAGTTGGCTTGAAACTCAACATTAAGAAAGCTAAGATCATGGCATCGGCCCTCTCAATTCCTGGCAAATAGGGAAAGAAATGGAGGTAGTGACAGATTTTATTTTCCTGGGCTCCAAGATCACCGCATATGGGGACTGCAGCCAAGAAATTAAAAGACACTTGCTCCTGAGGAGGAAAGCTATGGCAAATCTAAACAGCATACTAAAAATCGGAGACATCACCCTGCCAACAAAAGTGTGTATGGTCAAGGC